CAATTCCTAAGATGAATGTAATCATTATATACTACAAACATGTACTAATAAAAATTCAAATAAAGGTTATAAATAATAGCATCAGAATATTTAATTAATCCACACATTCTCATAAGTATCTGTAACATCTAATTATCAAATAAATGACTCAGAGTAAGACATTATTGGAACCACATGAAGTGCAGAGGAGAGAGTTGTAATTACTGAGTGAAGGCATACTGATGTCAATAATTTGTCTATTTAAGAAGTTAGTGGGAAATAAATTACAATGAAATTCATGTGTAACCTAATGATTTATCACTACCTTCAAAACCTTGGTTAACAACATTGTCGGCAATATCATTACAAACTACTTATTAACTGTATATACACTTAAATTCATTGCCACTCTGTGGTGCCATAGAAAATTATTTGTCCTGCTTCCTGGCACAGAGCTCCAAAAATCCTTGAAATTTCCTGAGCGAAAAGGGTGATAGGAATATATTTTGTTCTAATGAAGCAACTCTTGGTCCCTAGATTCAGAATGGGGACTGTAACTGAGAAAAATCCCAGCCTTTGATTAGATGCTTACAACTTTAGCTTCAATCTCCAGGCTCCAGGAAGGGGAGAAGACTGGAGATGGAGCTCATTTACTATTGGCCAGTGATTCATTCAGTTATGCCTATATGATGAAAACTCCATAATAACCACTATACCAATGATAGCAGACCTTTTAGAGCTTTCAGCTCTAAAAACAAACAGCCTGCTGCAGCATATGTGCCACAGGTTCAACACCACTGCCCCATGCAGTGGAGTCTGGAGGAGCTTCCAGGTTGATGAACACCTCAAGGCTCAGGAGGGTGGTGTACTCCAACTTCATGGGGACAGAAGCCCCTGCACTTGGTACTTCTCTGGATCTTACCTTATGTACCTCTTCATCTGGCTCTTCATTTGTATCCTTTATAAATAGCTGGTAAACATAAGTAAAGCACCTTCCTGAGCCCTGTAAAGCATTCTAGAAAATGAGGAATTACAGCTGGTTTCACATCTGGTTAGTCAGAAGTAATAACTTCTAAATTTGGTGAAGACTTTTGGGACTTGAGCACTTTAACTTGTGGAATCTGATGCTAACATCTAGTTGATAGTGTCATAATTGAATTAAATTGTTGGACACTCAGTATGAGAAAGTTAGAGAAGAGGTGTTGGGAAAAAGTACCATGTTTATTGTCAGGAAGAGAAAAACCCTTTTGCCTTCTCCCTATGTCATCATACCTGTATTATTTTGCCATTGATCATTAGCAATACTGATAAATTGTTTTAAGCAGTCTCTTTAAATCCATGTTTCAATTCCCTTTACCCTGTTGCCTTTCATGCAACAATATTAATTTACTCTACAAATATTGAAATTCATTATGTGTCAGGCTCTATCCGAGGGTATAATGGTGAGCAAACCAGATGTGATTGCCTACTTTCATGAACCTATTGGTGGAAAGAGACATCCATCAAAGAATCACATCTACACATTCACTTACAACATGGTAAATTTGCATCTTATGAATGAGGCATATAGGATGCTGCAGTTGGTCTTGTCACAAAGATCATGAAACAATTCCCCAAAGAAACTGAAATGTGAAGAATTGTATGAGGTTAACTAGGTAAAGATATGGGAGTGGGCAATTCAAACCTGCTTCTTTTAAAGACTTCTGAGACTGAAGTTTCTTATTCCAGCGCTCTCCTCCCTGATACCACCACAAATTTTCTCCTATTAAAAGAATTTAAAATATGCTCAGAGCCAGGCGTGGTGGCGCATGCCTGTAATCCCAGCACTGGGGAGTCTGAGGCAGGAGGATCGCTGTGAGTTCCAGACCAGCCTGGGCTACATAGTGAATTCCAGGTCAGTCTCAATTACATAGAGACCCTGTCTCAGAAAAACAAAAAAACAAAAAAACAAAAAACAAAATAAAAACTAAAAACAAAAACAAAAATGTATATACTCAGAACACCATCAGAAGAAAAAATATTTTTTTTGGTACCAGGAATCAAACTTGGGACCTTGTGCTTGCGAGGCAGGCGGTGACACCACTGAGCTAAATCCCCATGCCAACATTTCACATTTTTCACAGATAAAAGTATTACATGGTAAAGAAAGATCTCTGATGTCTCATTCTTTTAAACATTAAAACACTTTATTAGAACATATTCACCATACATAATGATCACATTCGTCACAGGGAATTTGTACTTGTGCACATGATGTCTCATTCTTGAGGACTGCTGCCCTGTTGGTTTCCTTCTCATGTACCACGCTGATCCCCAGTCGGGTGCACCTGGCATTCCCCCAGCCAAAGCCCCAGCAGTGATGAAAGTAATAGAGCTATGAGCCAAGACTGTTAGACCACAGTGGAGTAATTCACTTTGCTAACTGGAGTACAGGATGTTTTCACAGTGATTTAAAACAGATTTTGAAGAATGAGATAGGGAGAAAGATTTCCAGGAAAAGGGAACAACACCCACAAGTCGCAGAGAGGTGACAGAATGCCACATATTTGCAAAGATAATAGGCAGTTCAGAATCCCCCTAAAGAAGTAAGGGAAATATTATAAAAACAGTGAAATTAAATCAGCTTTTCAGAAATAAAAGAATTAATTTTAGTAAAATCAAAAAGTTCCATAAATAGAACCCTTCATTCCTTTACAATCCTTAATAAATGAGTTGTTACTAGACATTAATCTTAGCATTTACAATTGTCATAGGTTCCAGAACTTTAATTGCCTCAGATCTTCTTATTTTTCTTGACATGCCTTATTTATATTTTTTCACATTTTGATTGGCTTCCAGCTTTTACCTTTCTTTTTTCTAGCTTAGCATGTACAGTGGTCTTTGACGAGTGATAGTCATATCTTCCCAGACCATGATGTAGCTGACTGAGAATTCATTTAAGCCTATCTCTTTCCCAGTTCTTCATTTGATTCAAAAAGTATCTTGAATGTAAGCCAGTGCGGCCACTATGAAAATCGTTATGGAGATTCCTCAAAAAACTAAAACTAAAAACACTGTTTGAGCCAGTTACACCTCTCCTGGGTATATTCCAGAAAGAACTAATACTATAGTGATTCATGCATACCCGTATTTATAGCACTACAATTCGCAGTAGCCAAGTTCTGGAAATGGCCTAAATATCCACCAACAGATGAATGAATAAATATTCAGGCATATGGAAGAATAAAACCATGTCATTTGCAGGAAAATGTATGGAACTCAAAGAGCATCATGATATGCAAAATAAGCCAGACTCAGAAAGTTAAATGTAATGTTTTTTATAGAGAAACCTAAAATATAAATAGATGAATGAATATGAACAAAGGAGTGATGATAGTAAACTAGAAGGCAGATTCTTGGAGTGGGGAAGGGCTTCAGGGGTGGAGTAAGAAAGGGAGAGGGACGTAAAGGGATTGAAAATGATCGAGATATGTTATTTACATATACCATTTCCCTACAAACAAACACCATTATTCTATATTTCAATATAGAATGTACTTTTTTTTTTTTTTGTACTGGGGGTTGAACTCGGGACCTGTGCTTGCATAGCAGGCAGCAGAACCACTAAACTAAATCCCCATCCCTAAGGATGCACTTTTCTAAAAAAGTAGTTTGTATTGGAATGGAAGTTTCCACTAGAAATAGTATATGGAAAGTCTTACAGAGGAAAATGTTCAGCTTGAAGAAAGACTCAACCACGAAATAATTCTTCCACATAATAAATATCCATAAATGGAAAAATTTCACAATATTTTTGATCAAACAAGTTGTATAATTCTCTATTATCAGATTACCAGGCAAATATTACCATATGCATTCACCCTCAGTGGAAAAAGGCAAACATTTTCCTTTTTAAAAATTGAGAATGTCACAGAATGATTCCATTGTGTGTAAACAGAGATAATATTTACTGGCACACATACTGTGCTAGGCTGCGTGACAGACCAGTCACAATGCTGTCTTGTTTAATCGCCCATCAGGGCACCCATTGGGGGAGATGGTCACACAATTCAGCATCATGAAAAACTTCATAGTTTAAATAATCTGTGGATGTGGTTCTTTAGAGAAGAAGCTGGGGCTCAAAGAGTAGCTTAGTGATTATTTTACTCATTAACAGCCAAGTGGGACTTGAGCCCAGTCTCCTTACCCTTAGTCCCTGGCCTTTCTACAACATGCTGTGATGCTTGTGACATTTGTCTTCTAGTCACTTTTCTTTTTCTGTTTCCCTCTTTAGACTTTTTTCTCTCTCCATCCATACATAGAAATTTGGATATTTAAAATCTTCCTTTAATAATTTAATTCAACATTTATCTAATGATTATAAACTACATACATTAGATACTGGGAATCCAATGTTGTACTGGGAATTTGTTGGATACAGTAAAACAATACAGATAACTGAAAAACAAATCAGCATACCATACAAGCTTTGTAAACAGGTCTAGAGGATTTCAGAGGTGGATCTGGGGAATTTGGACCATGACTTGTACTTTTGAAGAAGGGGAAAGACTTTCATAAACAGGTGAAGGCTGAGGGTAGAAAAAGAATTCTATGCAAAATGAAGGGTAAATAGGAATCAGAGGAAGAGAGCAAAGCAAGTTGGAGAGATGTCATGTAGAACTCTGACTAATGAAGTGTTGTAGAAAAGACGATGAAGAAGAGACTACGAGTAGGCTGTGTTATTTATGAAGTCAGGCAAGGGATCTTTCCTATGAATAAGACTAGAGTAGCTAAAACACAGAGTGTGGAAGCCCTAGTCAGATATCACGGAAGTTATAGAGAAATAGCCAAGAAGCACTAGAAATGGGTGAAATTCTGAGCAAATCGCTTGACAAGGGCCTAAGGTAAAAGGAACCATGTACTACAGTACCACACTTCGAGATTCTAACTATACTAGCACACTCCTACCCCTAGGGGGAGCTCAAGATTTCCAGCCTTTATTCCAAATAAAGCTCTCTCCTAAGGGAACCTAGAACAAAATGGCGAGGTTGGGGGGCGGGATTGTGCAGGAGACTGTTGGAGGAATACAGCAGTTAATGGAGGTGAGCTAAGAGAATATTTTTCTTATCAATAATCTCTGCGGGCTTTTGTCTCAATTTAGCTCTTAGTTTATGTTCCTTTTTTCGCGGCTTCCCTGGCGTGTGGCCGGTATCTGAGACACTCTTAGAAGGGCAAGTGACCTCTCAGAGTCCACCCTGTCCAGCCCAGCTGCCCGGGTAAGAGACCTGATAGAGACCTGATAGGGTTGGGGGCCACCCATAAGTTTGTAGTAAAGAATGAGCATTTGCCCAAGGTGTCCTTACTTTGTTGGGTGAGAATCCTGTGAGCTACATTCATTATTCAGAATCCTGATCAGATTGCACCCACCTTCTAATCATAGGAGATTGGTATTTCGTGTGGTCACAGAGGTAACTAGAATTTAGGAATAGAAAGTTTGTGTGCAGGATTCCTGCTGAAAGATCTTGCCCAAAGCTTTAACTAGCTGTTACCGGTAGGCAGAGATGGAGGGCTATTTCTAGCAAGGAGAAGGGTACTTTTGAGAGACTGAGAGTATAAAGTACCTACCTGCACATTTGTGAAGCTCCATTCCTCAAAATGAGAGCAAAGTCTGGCCTTGGCTCTCCTAGGATTAGAACAATCCCACCAGCAGAAGCCTGAAATTTGAAGGACCAGAATACCAGATATGTGTTCTTGAACAGAGCCACCCTTCACTAAATTTAGAAATGTCAGAAGCAATGAATCTAGGATCCTGGAGAGGTATTTAATCTATAGGAATGAAAGAAAACTGCATGTGACATAGGGAAAAAGAGATACCAATATCATACATTTTTAGTATGCCAGTCCACAGTAGTGCTTAGGTGCAACTCTATGGAAGAACAAGTGCTTGCACTGGTGTTAGACTGCCCTAACAAGTGCTGTCAGAATGTCACAATTTTAATCTTTTTTTTTTTTTTTTCTGTATATGCTCAGAGAGCATTTTTAAAGTTCCCTTCTAGGTTCCATTTGTAGGAGCTACTTTATTATTGTAGCATGGCATCTGATATTTTATTTTTAATTTATTTATTTTTTGAGATAGGGTCTCACTATGTAGTTGAGACTGACCTGGAACTATTTAGCCCAGGCTGGTCTCAAACTCACAGCAATCCTCCTGCCTCAGCCTCCCTGGTGCTGGGATTACAGGCATACGCCACCACGCCCAGCAGCATCTGATATTTTAATATGAAGGATTAAAATTCTGACACAATTTCTTATTCTATCATTTATGTACATCTATCTTATTCATTTAAAATTCATTATTTTTATTTTTAGTGGGTATTAAGGATCAAACTTGGGACCTTGAACTTGCAAGGTAGGTGGCAGAACCACTGAGCCAAATCCCCAGCCCCTAAAATTTATATTTTAAATATCCCATTATAAATATTAATGCAGAAAATTTGGAAGCACAAAAATACAATGTGAAACCAAATCAGCCCTAATTCTACTATTCAAAGTAGAATAAAAACACTTTTACTGTTTTTTACTTTGTGTGTATTTTAAAACAAAAAATCATCAAAACTTTTCATTCTGTTTTGTATTTTATTTTCACTTAGTAATCTTGTAGAATTCTCTCAGTGTTAGTGAATGAACTACATCACAATTTTTTTTCTTTCTCTAAACTTCCCCCCCTCCCCCAGTGGTATGGGATTGAATCTAGGGCTTTGTGCTTGCTAGGCAAGTACTCTCCTCTGAGCTATATTCTCAGTCTTTTTTTTTACTTTTTGCTTTCTATCTGTCTGTGTGTCTGCCTATCTATCTATCTGATCTTGCTAAATTACCCAGGCCAACCTCAAACTTGTAATCTTCCTGACTCAGCCCTCTGGAGTAGTTGAGATTACAGGAATGCACCATCACACCTGGCTTCTCTATAAATTTTTTTCATTATACAAGCATTATTTGTGCATTGTTTTGTTCTTAGAAAGTAGAGAAAATTTGTATAGAAGGAAATAAATAATCTAGAATCCTAACATCCAAATATTAGTTGCTTTTTATATTTTGGTCTATTTCCTGACAGCTTCCTTTTTAAAATTTCATACATAATAATTAAACATTTCTGATAATAAAATTTTAAATGGTACAGAAGTATTTTAGTCTTTTTCTTAGCTTATAACAAAAATGTTTTGCTGTTTCTTTGAATAAAAATCTAATATGCTCATATATATTTTCAGATTCAGGAAAATGACAAGAAGGCATGTTACCCAAAAATCTATCGTTTAAAGGCAACTATTATTAAAAATATTAGTAATTTTCTTTGCCATTCCTGATAACTTTGCTTAAATTATTTCATTCAATTTTTATAACATCCCTAAAGGTTAGATATTATCTTGACATAATAGCTAAGTCCTGGAAACAGCCATATGCCTACCAACAGATGAATGGTTAAAGATATTGTGGTATTTACATACAATGGAGTACTAGTCTGCTCTGAAGAAGGATTAAAATGAAGTCACTTGTAGGTAAATGGATGCACCGTGAGGCTATAATGTTAAGTGAAATAAATCAGATACATCAGTTTAAATAGTACAATGTTTCTCTTGTGTGAAAACCCAATGGAGCAAAACAGACTGATAGAAATTGGAAAGCAGGAAGAACGTGTTCAAATGGGAAGGGGAACAAAGAAGTGGGGAGGGGAAGGGAAGGAAGGGAAAAAGGATTTAAAGAAAAGAGAATGGAAGGGAAAAAATGGAAACAAAGCTTTTGTAAATGAGGTTTAAGGGACAGGAGGGAAACAGGAGAAAAAGAATTATTATTATTATTATTATTATTATTATTATTATTATTTTGAATTTACAGATGAGAAACTAAGGCTTAGGGAAGTACATAATGTGCTCAAGTTTTTACAGCCTGAGTCTCGAGTTAGGTCTATCTGATACCAAGGCCTTGGCCTTGACCCAATGTTTGATAGTGCTATTCATATTTATGTACGAGTGCATTTGTCACGGGTGTTTTGTAACTCTTTATACTTTGACAATATATCTGTTTGTGCTAATGAATTATGAAACATTTCTTTGCCATTTTAACATCTCTGTATGATGTTTTACTTTAATCAATCTTCTACACTTAGATTATTTCTTTTTTATTATTATAATTAGAAATGCAATATAAATTGATGTATACTGTTAATTCTGCTAGATTATTTCCAGATTATATATATTTCTGGGAATAAAGACCAAGCATATTGCAACACTTTTGACATTTATTGACAAATTGTCTAATGAAAGATCATGTCATTTATACAATTACTATAATATTTTTACACTTTATAGACAACTAATTCTTGGCATTCTTCATTTCTTTGATCATTATTTCAATTTGAATATTTTTGAATGTCAATTGATTGTGTATGATATTTCTTCTTTTGTAAATTGCGTCTTGATAGACATTGCCTTTTCTTCTATTAGAATGTTTGCCTAGGGGCCATGGATTTAGCTCAGTGGTTCCACAGCATGCCTCACAAGGTCCCAAGTTCGATCCCTGGTACCAAAAAAAAGAATGTTTGCCTATATCTTAATCAGAGGAATCTATCTTTGAGTTTTTTATTGTTGGAAATAGATTTGCTTAATATCTTTTATGTTTTGTTGCTCTCTTTTTTCCAATCATTTTTCTTTATCAGTGCATATTGGTTATATGGATTTTATGGGTTTCACTTTGGCAGATTTGCATATAACATATTTTAATCATTTCCCCATCATCCCCTTGCTTCCTAATCTTCTCACTGATTTCCTCATATATTTTTCCTTTAAAAACTTTTTTTTTTGAGAAAAGATCTCACTATGTAGTCCAGGCTGGCCTCAAAGTTATGATCCTCCTGCCTCAGCCTCCTGAGTTCTGGGATTACAGGTATGTGCCACCATGCTGGGCTTTAAAAAAAAATTTAATGGCACCCATGTTTATAGTGGCACTGTTTGTAATAGCTAAAATTTGGAAACCGCCCAATTGCCCATCAATTGGAGACTGGATAAAGAAGATGTGGCTTTTCTATAAAATGGAGTACTGCTCAGCTTTAAAGAATGAGAAACTAGAGTCATTCATAGGAAAATGGATGCATATTGAGGCCATACTCTTTAAGAGAAATAAATAGGACACACATGTGTAAATACTGAATAGTTTCTCTGGTGTGAAAAACTAAAAGTATAAATAAGATCCAAATTGTATAACTGATAATGTGAAATAGGAAGCAAAAGGCTAAAGGAGTAGGGGAAATGGAAAGGGTAGGGGAAAGGAAATAAGGGAAAAGAAAAAATATGAGAAAAGGAAAAAATGGAAACAAAGTCTTTGTAAATAGTGAAGGGTGGAGGGTGTGTAAGTAGGGCAGGAGTATGGGGAAAAAATGAGAACCAAGATCTGTCATGGAAAGGTCCAAGATCCCAATGATAAATGTAACTGTACTGTATATCTAAAATGTACCAATAAACTCAATGAAAAAATTTAATGTATTGATATTTTTCACTTTTAATATACTATTATAATATTTTTATAATTATATTTCACCTTTTTATGCATCATTTCATTGGGAAAGTTTCAGAATCATGTTTAATGTTTGTTTAGGGAAAACTGCATTATTTTCACTATAAATAAACTGACTATATTTGAGAAAGAAAGTCTATTATAATTATTTATTAATAGAAATTATTTTTTAAATGGCTTTAGATTTACAAAAATTTATCAGGAAGTTCAGAGTCTCTACATTCTGCCTCACTTCCATCCACACCCCAGTTTCCCGTTATACGTCTTGCATCATTGTGGTACATTTGTTATCATTGCTAAGGTAATATTGACACATTATTATTATCAAAAGCCCATATTTACAAGGCCTAATTAGGCCTTGCTCTTTGTGTTTCATGTTCTGTGAGCTTTGAGAGATGCATAATGACATGTATCTGCAATTATAATAGCATACATAGTAATTTAACTCTACTCATTCATCCATCCTTCCTGCCCGATCCCTGGCAGCCACTGAACTTTTTACTCTTCAGTTTTGCCTTTTAAAGAAGGTCTTACAGCC